AGAACTACTGTATACCATGATGAGTATAGTTTTAACTAAGGATAGAACGGGCTACACTTAAAAAGGAGACAAAATTGCAGGATGAACTAATCTTCAGAAATTGACACAGAAGCTAGATGAACTATATACTGTGACCATTCTAATGCACTGGAGAGATTGATGGAAATATTCTTAATTCTCAAGGAAAAATGTTATTAATGTAGTATAATGAATTCTGCAAGGCTATATTTAGTAGGCTTGGGTAACCACGGAAAAAATTGGTTCTAAACTCGTTTTGTTTTTAGGGGGCCCTTGCGTTTTGTTTTTTTAAGAATTCTGAAATTTTCCTTTTAAAAATTTCGAAATATACAAAATTTCGTAAAATTACGAATCGATTCGTTAATGGTGGGCGCGATTGCGCAATATGCTAAAAAAACCTCTAAATGGGACAGGGGGAACTTCTGAAGCTTCCCTCTCCCTCTGTTGTTGACTGTTGGTGTGATAAAACAAACAACAACTATAAAACTTGCACCAGACATGCGAAAATAATTACGAAATAATTACGAAATAAATTGGAAAAATTGTTTCGATTCTTAATTACTCCTCACACTATTCCTGCATGGCTCAATATTGGATCGTAAGCTAATTTAAATACGAATTAATAATGAATTACGAAATTAACGAACGAAACCGCCCAAGCCTAATATTTAGCTATTGCAAATGTTATTTTTTAGCATTTCTGGACCAGTATTTTTAAAACTGTCAACCTTTGTTTTATTAACCTTTCTCATGCTGTAAAGGGTATGTTCAAAGTTGTAATATGGAGTATTTTGATCAGTTGATAACTTTTCATCAGTCACTATGTAAAAATTTAAGGGGTATGAAATCAATCATTGAAACAGATAGAACTATGACGCCCTTCAAGAGACCTTGAAATGGTATTGTTGAGTATCCTCTAAATCTAGCAGCTGAAGTCCTTATTATAATTTATGATCCTCTATAGGTGTTTTGTATCCTTGAAAGCTCTTTGAATGAGGATTTTATATAATGGACATACTTCACTATTCCTTGCTCAGCTCTTTGGGAGAAGCTTAGGGACTGTTTGAGCTCCGAATTAAGAAATTGTATATTGTACATTGAAATATAACCTTGACACCTATAACTAAGTGCAATGTAAGGAGACTTGCATTTTGAAAAGTACTGAAAACAAACTCACTAAACTATAGAAAAATGATATCTCTTTAACCATCCCATCCATATTGTAGTCAATAGTGATATAGGTAAAGGCTTGGCCTCAGCAAAATACTAGGGCTGGGTAACCACGGAAAAAAATGTTTCTAAACTCGATTCGTTTCCAGAGGGCGCTAGCGTTTCCAAATTCTAAATACTTCCGAAATTTTGAGATTTCAAAATTTCGTTATTTACGAAATTTCGTTAATTTTGAATTGATTCGTTAATGGCGGACGCGATTGCGCAATATGCTAAAAAAAACCTCCAAATGGGACAGGGGGAACTTCTGAAGCTTCCCTCTCCCTCTGTTGTTGACTGTTGGTGTGATAATTTATTTTTTTATCACTGATAAAACAAACAACAACTATAAAAATTGCACCGGACATACGGAAATAATAACGAAACGATTTCGGAACAATTACGAAACAATTACGAAACAATTTCGAACCAATTACGAAACAATTACGAAACAATTTCGAAACAATTGGAAAAATTGTTTTGATTTTTAATTACTCCTCACATTAAGATTACATAACAGCTACACCTCCTTTTTCGGTGGTTCTTGGCAGGGGTGCCTCAGCTGAAGGGCCCTTTAGATTTCCCAACACAAAGTTCTATTGAGGCTCAAGATAAATTCAACAAAGTTTGATTTGTTGGGCTTAAATCTTCAAACAAATGAATTAAACACTTTATAACCTTGGTAAACCACTAGCTTTCTCAATCTGCTATCAAGGGGCAGGCAACCGGTGATAAACTGTTCCTTTCTTCCTTAAGGAAATCCTTTGACCCCTCCCTGGGCAATCTCTCTTTACCTTGCTGGCGTGAGGCCCCTACTCCCGGCTCCAAGCTGCTTTATGGATAGCCCGAGTGGCCCCTTACCAGGCAAGGTTCCTGTAGATCTGCCAGGCTGAAAGGTGTCCTTTAGTTTCTCCACGAAGGCTGTAGGAACTATTTCTTTATTCCCCAGCAGAGCTGTGGATCTATTTCTTTAACCCCCAGAAAAAGCTGTGAGAAGTGAAGCCTTTGTGCAGATGGGAGAGAGAAACCCACACATCCTGCTGTTAGGCTCCAAAACAGTGAGACTGAACAAAGTCCTCCTTTCCTTCCAAAACCCTGGGAAAAGGGGCGGGTCTAAAGATTCTAACGATGATTGCCAAGTTGTTGGCCCTATGATTGCAACCTGAGGGAAGCTACCTTATTGCAAAATGCATGGCTTAAATAGATTCATGCAAACTAGCAGTGAAAGAAAAAGAGGTTAAAATCACCTGGCACTACCGTGCCAGCACAATAATGTATACATTATTCCATCCCACTATACTTGAAATCCTAATATTAATACCCCCATTCCATTAAGCTTACCCATACCTATATCTTTGCATGCCAGTACAACATAACTCAAGTTAATGATATATTCAGAACTGTAAAACTTCTCATAGACTTATCTTGTTGTCATATTTAATCTTTAATCTTGCCCTGCCATCCCTTAATTACTCAATCTTTTTGCTGAATAAAGAAAAAAGCTCCAAAAAGGACTTGCTTACTACCAAATTACTGTATTTTCCAGCATATGAGATGACTTTTTAACCCGGGCAAATCCTCTCAGAAGTCGGGGGTCGTCTAATATGCTGGGTATAAAATTTATTATATTAAGTATTTTGGAAGGGATATGTAAATGTTGCTTAAAGGGTGAGTGCTTACTTCGGCAAGGGTGCCAAGCAAAAGCCTCAAGTCTTCCAGGCGGCTCCTTCTCCTCTCCGTTCCCAAGTGGCTCCCTCACATTGCCACCTCCTCCTCCTCTTTCACTGCCACCGCTGAGGCGGGCATGGAGTGGGTGAACCCCTCGGGGAGACTGAAGCCCAACAGATGGAGCCAAGCGGTGCCAGAGGGGCGCAGCAGCTGCTTCAGGTGCCCTGCTCCAGTGAGAGGGCATGGCCTGAGGAGGGAGGGAGGAGGAGGGCGGAGGGAGGGTACGGGGAGGTGGAGCGACCAGCCACATTGCCATGGAGACCCCTGGGCTGTCCGCGCCGCCAGCCTAGTGCTGGCTCTGCCTCACCATGAGCTTCCAGCAGAAGACACCCTCAAGCCTGGAGCAAAGAAAGCTCTCCTCCTTCTCAGGCACAGCAGGAGGGAGGGAGGGCACGGGGAGGAGGATTGGCAAGCCGCATTGCCCTGGAGACCGCTGGGCAGTATTTGCCAGCGGCAGCAGCCTATGCTGGCTCTCCCTTGCCATGAGCCTCTGGCAGAAGATGACCCTCAAGCCTGGAGAGAAGAAAGCTCTCTCAGACTACTACAAAAAAAAGAGGGGTGGTCTTATACAGCGAGTATATCCTAAACACTCAATTTTAGATGGAAAAGTTTGGGATCGTCTTATACGCCCAGTCATCTTCTACGCAGGAAAATGTGGTACCTATGTCTCTGAAAGCTTCAGCGTCACAATTTCATACATTATGCACTACAGTCTCAAAACATTCAATTCTCAAAAAATCTGATGACGCTGCATGTTTATCTAAATCATGTCACATCAACCAGTTCAATTTACCTTTATCTCACATTTGGTTTCCTCCCGAATGTTACTTTTAAAATGCAATGCACATGACTAATTAAAAATACATAATCCTTCGGATCTGGACTTTTCCTGATAGTACTTTGTTCTTCTTGAGAACATATTCTCTTTTGAATTGTGCTCAATACAAAAGTGATGGGATAATTGATGTTAGCCTTCAGTGATCACGATGTTGGTTGAAGTCTTTTAAAGATGTTTTTATTGTTTTGGTTTTATTGTTTGTTTAATTATATTTTATTGCTATATGTTTTAAGTGTGTTACTTTGTAACCCTTGTTTATGCTGGGCTTGGTCCCCATGTAAGCTACCCAGAGTCCCTTTGGAGAGATAGTGGTGGGGCATAAGAATAAAGTTTTATTATTAATACTAGCTGTCCCCTGCCATGCATTGCTGTGGCCCAGTCTGTGTATATGTGTTTTGTGTGTATGTATATGTGTGTGTGTATATGTGTGTGTATGTGTGTTGTTTATATATTTGGACTGTGGCGCAGCTGGCTGCGAGTCAGCTGCATTAAGATCAATACTGATTGAAAGATCATGAGTTTGAAGCCAGCCTGGGTGGGAGTGAGCTTCCAACCAATTTGTGTAGCTTGCTGTCGACCTTTGCAGCCCGAAAGACAGTTACATCTGTCAAGTAAGAAATGTAGGTACCTCGTATGTGGGGAGGCTAATATAACTAATTTACATCGCCATAAAAATCTCCAGCAAGCATGCAAAGAGTGAGGAAGTACTTCATCAGTGTCACAAATGACGGTGAAGCAACAGCTCCCCTGGTGGCCAGAATACCCTCATGAAAGCTGGAAAGTTAAATAGCCTTTGTGTGTCTGTCTCTATATGTTGTGTGTCTATGGCATTGAATGTTTGCCAAGTATATGTACATTGTAATCTGCCCTGAGTCCCCTGCGGGGTGAGAAGGGTGGAATATAAATACTGCAAATAAATAAATAAATAAATGTGTATATATTTGTGTATATGTTTATATATGTGGTTTTGCGCATGCATTGTAATGCAATTTTTATTTTTTATTTTTTTGGCTTTTAAAATCTCTTCTGCTGTGTTTTTCAGTGTTTTTATGAGTGATAGTCACTTGTTGGCCTTATGTATTGCTTCCAAATTTGGTGTCAATTCGCCCAGTGGTTTTTGAGTTATGTTAATCCCACAAACGAACATTACATTTTTATTTATATAGATTAGTATCATCATCATCATTATTTAATTTTCTCTCCATAGGGATGTGAGCTCATAGAGACCCCAAATCAAGATTTAACAGACTTCACCAAATGTCTTCAGATACTCCAGCAGAGGATAGTGAAGAAAGGCTTACAGGTATGGCTAACACTCTTTCAGTACACCTTTGTTCTCCCACTGGTATTGTTTTAAAGTTTCCAGTGACTGAAAAAGCTATCAGAGTACCTTGTGTGTTTTCGTTTTGCATTGTGATCTATATTCTGCTAAATAAAATACAGTCATATGACTAGTGGCTTGTGACAGAAGACTGAGCAAGCATCTGCTGCCAAAAATTTGGTTCACACTATCATGTGGTAATGAGCCTTGGAGATTGCTGAGGAGTAACACTATGTAACAAAATGTGAAAAAAAATCCCTTCCTGGTTTGAAAGTTTTATTTCCCGTTTACTTGTGCAGTACTTTGAAAGTAGTTGTTATACACCAAAACTTCGTTTTCGTGGCTGCTACAAACTATGTTGAATTGGTTGAGACTCTATGAGATATTTATTGAAAAATAATCGCAAAATGTGCTGCAGGATGTCCTGCAAAAGCAAAGTTTTTGCAGTTTTAGAAACTTTTTACATGTTTTTATAATAGAACTTATTAGGAAATGACATTATTTATTTATTTATTACTGGCATTTGTACCCCGTCTCTTCTCAACCCCCGAAGGGGGACTCAGGACGGCTTACATTAGTAACGGTGCAAGACCGCTGCATCACAATTACAATAATATAACACAATAAAATACAAAACAATCATTAAAACCAATACATATAACAATAGTTAAAACAATAAAACAAAGTCACAATGTCATCTGCCGCAACGCCATTCCCGTCAATGTCCATTATGATGCAAATTACGTCTGCTGCCTGAAGGCCTGGTCCCAAAACCACGATTTTAATTTTTTTTTCTGAAGGCCAGGAGGGATGGAGTCGATCTTATTTCATTTGGGAGTGCATTCCATAGCCGGGGGGCCACAGCCGATAAGGCCCTGTCTCTCATCCCCGCCAAAAGCATTTGCAATGTTGGCGGAAGCAAGAGCAGGGCCTCCCCGGATGATCCAGGAACAAAAATTGTGTTATATAGTCTAATTGAATGTTTGATATTGGTCTTCAGTTCAAATATTCCACTTGAGTGTGTGTTACTTTCCAATCTGTCACTTTTTGCCTCTCTTCTGAGGTGTTTGGGAAATCAAAGTCCTCAATGAGTTTCCAACTAGCTGAATATATATCATTGCCCCACTCCTTTCTCTCACAGAAGTAGCTGAATCAACTACAGGTGGTCCAATTGGAATGCATACATTATTAATGGGAATGTTCCTGTTCTTGGAAATAGTTGATGTGTGTTATAAAACTCTAAGATTTGATTTGTGTACTTCCACACGGTCTGTAAAAAAAAATGTGTCAGGAGCAACTTGAGAAACTGCAAGTCGCTTCTGGTGTGAGAGAATTGGCCATCTGCAAGGATGTTGCTGTTGCACCTCAGAATAGATTCACCTTGCTGAAATCACCAGAACTGCACACAGGCTGAAGTATTTGTAGTTTATTAAAAAGTAAAAGATTGAAAGTTTAAAAAGCAAGTAATGTTCCAAAGATCAATAAAACATAGCATTATAAAGCAGGATTCCAAGAGGCACCAACGAAACAAAGTCCCATGAGAACATGACAAAATCCCAAGACCATGGACACAAGAACTGTAAGATAATCCAGGCAAACGAGCACAAGCTGCTTGGTTGAACGAGAAGTTGTTCTGACAAAGGTTTGTTTTCAAACACATTGCTTAATGCCCTTTGCAATACATGAAAGCATTTCTTTGGCCTCTGACCTCCTTCTTGTTGGCTATTCTCACACTCCTTCGAACTCTGAATTCCAAACGGTCAGCCTGATCTAAGATTCCTGTTTCATCAAGGTCAGGCTGCTCGTTCGTGTCAGCCTGGTTGCCTTCCTGCCTACTATCAGGCTGAGAACCGTTCTCCTTTTCTGAGTCAATTTGCACCTGGCTAGTTTCAGTACCAAAAACATCATTCCCTGCTGTGGGAAACTGAATTTGCACACCCTGTTCCTCATTATCTACAACAGGAATGAACCTGATCGTGAACCTGAATCCCATCATCCTCGTCAGAGTCACTCTGAGACCCCATCTGAGTCACAACACTATCAGTCTGTGTCTGTGGTTCCAGCCGAGTCACAACAGTTGCCCAGGGGATGCCCAGATGTTTAATGTTTTACCATCCTTGTGGGGAGCTGGAGCTGACGGAGGGAGCTCAACCTGCGCTCCTCAGATTTGAACCACTTACCTGTCAGTCAGCAGTCCTGCCAGCACAAGGATTCAACCCACTGAGCCACCCGGTGTTGGGGTTCAGCCTGTGTGTGAACCTGAACCTGATTCTCTGATTGTATTTCCTGATGCCAGTGTAGATGTCAATGTGAATTCTGAGGCCAATTTAGATGATGATGGTTTGAGTAGTGAAAATCCTACAACCTTGGAAAGTGAAAGTCAAAATTCCCATGAGAACATGCATTCCAAGCCGAGCAGAGAAGTTTCACTCCCTTTTCCTCCCAGCCTTAGTTCTCCAGAGAATCTGACACCTGGTCTGCCTAATGAGGATAGGCGGGGGCAGATTTGGCAGAGCCGGGGAGAAGCACAAAGTTTACGTAGGTCAGCCAGATTGAGAGAAATGCAAACAAAAACGTCAGGCGTGTCTCGCAATAGATTTCTCGGCCTTAAGTATGCCTGGCCTGAATGCAGCTTCAGACCAGGCATCGTTCCAGATTCATGTGCAAGCTTTTGCAGGTCTCCTGATTCAAGTGGCCTTGTTCCTCGGAGGTTTTCTAGTTGTTCCAAGTACGGTTAGTGGATTGCTAACAGGTTCCAGGATTCAGCAGTTTTGCTGTGGGTTTTATGATCTTGTTTATGGACATTTCTTGTTGCTGATTTTTACTGTGACTTTTTACCTTTGCATTTTTCCTCTATTTTGTATTCATCTTTCATCAATAAAAAAGGATTGTTTTCCTGAAGTCAAGTGTGGTGGATGGTGGTCTGAGGGTCCAGTTTCTTGCTCTGGGTTGCAACACCTGGGGCTCCTCTCTGTAAATAATGTATTGGTAGAGGTCCTGGACAATCTGTGTATTATTGCCAGCATTCCTCCTCTTTGCAGCAGGAATGCTGGCAATAATAGAGCTTTTAATTCAGTTTCATTTGCTGTTTTGCCTCACTTGATTAAAACTAGTAATTTCCTTGAAAGACAGGAATATCTCACTCATTTCATTCCTGATCCCATTCGTGAGAAGTTATATTCTTTGGCCTCCTCTATTGTCGTTCAGATTGATGAGCACATCTGCTTTCATACAGCCTGTTTCTTTACCTGCTCTTTTGGTAAAATTCCAAAGTTGTGTTTACAGTCCTTCATGTTTAAGATGCGTCTTAAATAAGTGGAACTATAAGGAAGAAAAATAACTTCATAAAACTGCTTCCACGTGCAGCAGGACTTGCACATGTATATTGTACTGTCACTGAACTTCTAACTTTTTACAAGTACTTACTTACTTACTTAGGCGATCCCTCGTTGGACGAGTAAGATGGTCTTCCATTATGGATTTCCTTGTGGGTCCGTATGTGGCTGTGGAGCCCTATTCTTGCTCTGTATCTTCTTCCGCAGTGAGGGCATTGGTTTCCAGGTGGAAGGCGGTCCCGGTCGGGGTTGGCTTGACGCGCCTTCCTCCTGGCACGTTTCTCTCTTTCACCCTCCACTTGTGCCTCCTCAAATTCTGCAGCACTGCTGGTCACAGCTGTCCTCCAGCTGGAGCGCTCAAGGGCCAGGGCTTCCCAGTTCTCAGTGTCTATGCCAGAGTTTTTAAGGTTGGCTTTGAGCCCATCTTTAAATCTCTTTTCCTGTCCACCAACGTTCCGTTTTCCGTTCTTAAGTTCGGAGTAGAGCAACTGCTTTGGGAGACGGTGGTCAGGCATCCGGACAACGTGGCCGGCCCAGCGGAGTTGATGTTGGAGGACCATCGCTTCAATGCTGGTGGTCTTTGCTTCTTCCAGCACGCTGACGTTTGTCCGCTTGTCTTCCCAAGAGATTTGCAGGATTTTCCGGAGGCAGCGCTGATGGAAACGTTCCAGGAGCTGCATGTGACGTCTCCTTCATGTTTAAGATGCGTCTTAAATAAGTGGAACTATAAGGAAGAAAAATAACTTCATAAAACTGCTTCCACGTGCAGCAGGACTTGCACATGTATATTGTACTGTCACTGAACTTCTAACTTTTTACAAGTATAAACACAATGAATCCTGTCATATGGGGAGCACATTTGAACTTCAAGTACAGCCGATAGAAATAAATTTGCCAAAATCCTGCTGCCTTTTGCGGTATGCATCCTATGAATGTATCATAAAGAGCTCTCCCAAAAGATTTATAAAAGCACACTATTAAAACGAGAATAATAGAAGCCACATAATCTACTCCAGAATTTCAACAATATACCTTTCAACATACTTTGAAATCTTTACATGCTTTGATCCTGCTGTCATTTGGCTAATAATGCAGTACACTTTTAGATGCAGTGATGGATATTGCACTCCACAAATCTCTGGGCTTTGAAGCTTAACATGACTAACAGTAACAGCATGAGGAAGAGGGGGAAGGCATCTCTTTTGAAGGGGGAAATTACTCTGAATGCAGGGTACAATACGCAGTGTAACAATTATACCAACACATTACTGCATGGAGTGGCAGGTGGGGTAGTAGTTTCAAACTCTGTATAAATATGCCACTTTTCTAAAGATACAACAATGAAAAGGACAAGTGTGGCTTGTTTGTTGTTTGATGTTTCTGCAGGGGTGATTGTTCCAGAAAATGCCATATATCAAATAAGATGTTTCTTTTGTCTCCTGTAACTTTTTGACCTTTTTACTTTAGACATAAGAGTATTAAAAAGAGGGTTGTTACCATTCTGGTTTCTGGTTGCTTCTGAGGCGAGAGAATCAGCGTCTATGAAGACGTTGCCCAGGGGACGCCCGGATGTCTTGCAATCCTGCGAGGAGGCTTCTCTCATGTCCCCCTCATGGAACACCTCAGCAAGCGAGAGTCCAAAAGTGG